GCCAAGCACCGGTTCAGGACCTCGACAGCCTCCTTAGTAGCAGGTGGAAAGGAGTGACAGAGCTGGACATCACCTGCGTACAGATGACATCTCACTCCGAAACTCCGGATGATCTCGCCCAGCGGTTTCATGTAGATGTTTCATAGCCACATTCCGTTCCTTTTATGTAGATACCACCAAAAAAAAATTGTATCTCCCGAGGAGAACAAACTTTCAAGTGTATAATTTTGTAAGTATTCAAATGTATTGTAACTTATGGTATTTAATGGATATGTTCAACAAATATTGATGCAATAACAAGTGTGAAGACTTTACTAATTTCTTAATGTGTAAAATACTTGAATATTAAGTATTTCTACAATATAATCATTTTCAACATAGTAATTTTCAAACTCTCATATCCACATTTCGTTTCTTTGATGTAGACACCACTAACTCAAAAATATCTGTATCCCCCGAGCAGAATTTGGTCAAGTGTATAACTTTGTAAGTACTTAAATGTCTTGTAACTTATGATATTTAATGATACAGATGTTCTATATGTATGCTACTAGAGTAAAACATTGATTTGTACATTAATTTCAGTCCACCAGAGGAAGGGCAAGATGGATGGATGGCATCCTTGAAGTGACTGGACTGACCTTAAGGGAGCTGGGGGTGGTAACGGCCGACAGGGAGCTCTGGCGTGGGCTGGTCCATGAGGTCACGAAGAGTCGGAGACGACTGAACGAATGAACAACAACAGAGGAAGGCCCGAGGTAGGTCGAAACCGGTCGTAGTCGGCTGATCCACAAACTACTTATAAGAAGATACGACTGTACTAAAAATTTGCACCATATTGTTTGTTGTCGCTGTGAGGTTAACAGTGCAGCATGTTTATATACTGTTGTTGAATTATATCATTGTTTATGGTATACAAGTGGTATTTTTGTTGTATGCATTTCATTCAGAAACCCATCTATATTATAGTAGATTTGCTGGGAACACAACCCGACCTTTGTTCGGGGTCTCTGTTCTAGGAGAAGGAAGAAGGGATGGTAATATATGCATGATGATGAATGAATATGTATGTGTGTGTGAATGCTGAATGAAATGCAAATTCCCCTTTGTTTGTGTACCCAATGTAGCTATATTTATTTATTTACTTCATTTATATTCTGCCCTTCTCACCCCGAAGGGGATTCAGGGCAGCTTACAACAAAGGCACAATTCAGTGTAACCCGGGGACAGCCTGTACAGGAATAATTTCTCTATTTCCTCTTACCTGGCACACCTGCCACGCCCCTCTCCAGGCCAGGACCCCCGGCTCGCACCTTGTGGGCGCCCCCTTCTCCCAAGGGCCCCACCGTGAACTGGAAGGGGCTCCCAGGAACGTGTTGCCCGCGGTACTTGACGTTGACGGTGTGGGGCCCCATCTCCTGCGGCACAAAGCGGACCGAGTAGGCGCTGTCCTCGCCCTCAATGATCTCCGCCTCCGCCATCTTCCCTGACGGACTGGTCACCTGGGCAGTCATGGCTTGCAAGCCAGCCTCACCTGGACAAGGGGGAAAGAGATATCAGACAGTCAGACCAAGAGACCAGAAAAGACTGTCCCATGCTAAGGGTGGTCCAACTACACTGAGAAATGATGCAGTTTGACAACACTTCTTTGCTACTACAGCTCCCAGGATTCCATAGCATTGAGATAAAGTAGCTACCTGTAGGAATCTTGAGGTCAAGCATGGGCAAACTTGGGCCTTCCAGGTGTTTTGCACTCCAACTCCCATAATTCCTAACAGCAGGAATTGTGGGAGTTGAAGTCCAAAATACCTGGAGGGAGAGCAGAAGTTGGCCCATGCCTGCTTCCCACTGTCCTTCTCCTGCCATGCAAACGCCTCCCAAAGTGGCAGTCCTCCCACGTGAGGCTCATGCAACCCCACACGGTGTGTGCCCCATGCTCCGCTGCAATGCGTGTACACAACCACACAACACACGGCTGCAATGCCACACCCACGGACGCACCCTCCTGGGTCCGGGCGATGCTGCCGAAGGAGCCAAGGCTCTCGCGGCCCAGGAAGTCTCCGAAGACGTTGTGGAAGGGGTCCCCGCCAACTTGCGTGGACTCCTCCACCCGCACCTCACGCTTGGTCTCGCCGCCCCGTGTCTTGCTGATCTCCGTCCGCTCGGTGCGCGTATAAGTGTGGCTGCTGCGCGTAAAGGTGCGCGTCAGGCGCTCCTGCGCAGAGACCATCTGGAACCAGTTGCCTGCGCCAGGCCAGCAGCCACGAAAGAAGAGGAGGAAGAGAGGAGGAAGAGAAGGAGGAAGAGAAGGAGCAGGGCAGGAGGAGGAGGATAAAAAGAAGAAAAAGAAGTGGAGAAAGAGGGATAGAGGAGAAAGTGAGGAGGAGGAGAAAAAGAAGTGGAGGAAGAGGGAAAGGGAGGAGGATGTGAGGAGGAGGAGAGAAAGAAGTGGAAGAAGAGGGAAAGGGAGGAGGAAGTGAGGAGGAGAAGGGAAAGAAATGGAGGAAAAGGCAAAGAGAGGAGGAAGTGAGGAGGAAGAGAAAGAAGTGGAGGAAGAGGGAAAGGGAGGAGGAAGTGAGGAGGAGAAGAGAAAGAAATGGAGGAAGAGGGAAAGGGAGGAGGAAGTGAGGAGGAGAAGAGAAAGAAATGGAGGAAAAGGCAAAGAGGAGGAAGTGAGGAGGAGGAGAAAGAAGTGGAGGAAGAGGGAAAGAGAGGAGGAAGTGAGGATAAGGAGGAGGAGGTAGTGGAAGAGGAAGAGGAGGAAGGGAAAAGACAGGAGAAAGTGAAAAGAAGAGCAGAAAAAAGGATGAGGAAGAGGGAAAAGAGGAAGGAGAGAGAAGGAAGAAGAAGAACAAAAGAAAAAGAGGAGGAGGAAGAAGAGAGGAGGAGCAAGGGAAGAGGAGGAGGAGGAAGTAAAGGAGGAGGAGAAAAAGAAGTGGAGGAAGTGGGGAAAGAGGGAAGAAGAGGAAGAAGTGAGTAGGAGAACAGGAAGAAGAGGAAGTGGAAGAGGAAAGGAGAAAGGGGGGAAGGAGGAGTGGAGGAAGTGAGGAGAAAAGCAGAAAAAGGACAAGGAAAGAGGAAAAGAGGAGGAAGGGGAGAGAAGGAAGAAAAGAGGCAGAAGAAAAAGAGGAGGCAAAGGAAGGGGATCAAGAGGAAAAGAGAGGAGGAAACAAGAAGGAGAGTAGAAGGAAAAGAAGGAAGAAGAGCAGAAAGAGGGGGAGAAGGGGGAAGGAGAATAGAAAAAGAAGGAGGAGGAGAAGCAGGTTAGAAATAGGAAGGATGGAGTCGTTGTCCAAAATTTCGAGTCACTAAGAGGGTACAGGAAGTGCAGGGCGCACCGGGTGACACGGTCAGAAGTGGTGACACCAAAATGAATGCCTATTTTTAAGAATCATAATGAAATCTTGGTGCCTTCATGTCAAGCCAAGTAGTTAGATTGGGATGCCCAGAAGGGGATGCCATGATATAGATACATCAAGACCCCCAAAATTCCCAGTTTGTGGGGGTGGCACCGTGAGTTATTGCACTGGTAATGAACTGGTATTTAAATAGTAAGTGTTCCAAGCTCTGCTGAAGATCCATCATCCCCACAGACCCAAAGACGCCCATTGCTGCCACTTAGCGTCCAACCATTCACTTCTTGGAACCATCGGTAGTCCCGATTGAGACATCTCGCCCTACCTGGGATCTTGAGGTTCAGGTCGCAAGTGCTGCCGATGGTGGCAATGGATGGAGCCTGACGCCGGCGGGTGATGCTCTCCTTCATGCGCCCTTCGCCGGTCACCTTCACGGTGAAAGGGCTCCCTGGAAAGGTATTGAGAAGCAGCATCGTTAGGGCAGGAACTCTGTCTCATCCCAAACTCTGCCTGGTTCGTCAATGGGATCTCAAGACCAAGAGTGGAAAGCTGTTCTAAGCTTCAGAGGTCCAGTTCATATTTTGGAGATTTGTATTATTTGTTAATACAAATCTCCGAATTACTGATTGGAATGGGATCCCTCCAAAGCATTAGGAAATGAAACGGAAGCCTCCGAAACATTTCAGAAAGTTTAGTAAAGATTTGTTGTTTCGGAGAGTTTCAACCAGTGTTTTTTTCAATGTAACATACAGATAGGCAAACAGATGAGAGTAAGGAACAGAAGAGGACAGAGAAGCAGACGGGCAAAGCCACTCCAAGCAAAATGGATAGACTACATATCCCAACAGCAAGGGCATCCCACATTTGCATAAGCCCCTCCAAAACAACAACAACAACAAAGGAAGGGGATGATGATCCCCCAGAAGACACAGTTTGGAAATAAAGACACAAGAGTTTGCCCCAAAATATTGCCTAGGGTGCCATTGGAAACTGTTTCTGCACTTGCAACCCCTAGTGCCTATTATACTTGGCAAACACACACACACACATATATGCGCGCGCGAACACACACATAGATTGCAAAGACACCCTCTGTAATTTGCAATACATTCACATTATCCTTTGCTGTATGTGCCTGTTATGGTTTGCAAACATATATATGTATACACATAGACATACAGATACCTTGCAAGGGCACCCTCTGTAATTTGCAATGTGTGCACATTATCCTTTGCAATATGTGCCTGTTATAGTTTGCAAACATATATATGTATACACATAGGCGCACAAATACCTTGCAAAGGCACCCTCTATAATTTGCAATGTGTGCACATTATAATAAATGTGTGCACATTATCCTTTGCAATATGTGCCTGTTATAGTTTGCAAACATATATATGTATACACATAGACGTACACATACCTTGCAAAGGCATCCTCTGTAATTTGCAATGTGTGCACATTATTCTTTGCAATATGTGCCTGTTATAGTTTGCAAACATATATGAGTATACACATACCTTGCAAAGGCACCCTCTATAATTTGCAAAGGGTGCACATTATGTTTTGCAATATATGCCTGGTATTGTTTGCAAACATATATATATGTATACACATAGGCGCACACATACCTTGCAAAGGCACCCCCTATAATTTACAATGGGTGCACATTATAAATGTGTACACATTACCCTTTTCAATATGTGCCTGTTATGGTTTGCAAACATTTTTTTTATTTATTTATTTAATACACTTGTATATCGCTAATATCTCAGCCTAAATCGGCGACTCATTGCGGTTTACAGCAATTAAAAGCAATGTACAATTTAAAACAACAACACGTAAACAATACAAATTATTGGGCCACCAATAATAATACCATGCTTCTCGTCACAAAAATCACAGTCCAGAGTTCGTCATCCATAGTTAACCAGTCCTTAGTCTATAAATTCAATAGTAACAAACTAATTGAATGCTTGTTTACACAACCATGTTTTTAATCTCTTCCGAAAGACCATCAGCGAAGAGGCTGATCATATCTCTATAGGGAGGGTGTTCCAAAGCCGAGGGGCCACCACAGAGAATGCCCTGTCTCTCGTTCCCGCCAGCCGCACTTCTGAAGCCGGAGGGACAGAGAGCAGGGACTCTCCAGAAGATCTTAGGGTCCTGGTTGGCTGATAGGCTGAGATACGTTCGGATAGATAAGTTGGGCCAGAACCGTTTAGGGCTTTAAAGGCCAAAACCAGCACTTTGAATTGAGCCCGGTAGCATATCGGCAGCCAGTGGAGCTGGTGCAGCAGAGGAGTTGTGTGCTCCCTGCGCCCCGCTCCTGTTAGTACCATGGCTGCCGCCCGTTGGACTAGTTGGAGCTTCCGGACTGTCTTCAAAGGCAACCCCACGTAGAGAGCGTTGCAGTAATCAAGGCGGGATGTAACCAGAGCGTGGACTACCGTGGCTAAGTCGGACTTCCCAAGGTACGGTCGCAGTTGGCGCACAAGTTTTAATTGTGCGAATGCTCCCCTGGTCACCGCCGAAACCTGGGGTTCCAGGCTCAGCGATGAGTCCAGGATCACACCCAAACTGCGAACCTGTACACACACATACACACACATACCTTGCAAAGGCACCCTCTATAATTTGCAATGTGTGCACATTATCCTTTGCAATATGTGTCTGTTATAGTTTACAAACATATATATGTATACACATAGACGTACATATAGCTTGCAATGGGTGCGCATTATAAATGTGGAGACATGATAGCCATGTATAAATATGTGAGAGGAAGCCACAGGGAGGAGGGAGCAAGCTTGTTTTCTGCTTCCCTGGAGACTAGGACGCAATGGAACAATGGCTTCAAACTACAAGAGAGGAGATTCCATCTGAACATGAGGAAGAGCTTCCTGACTGTGAGAGCTGTTCAGCAGTGGAACTCTCTGTCCCGGAGTGTGGTGGAGGCTCCTTCTTTGGAAGCTTTGAAACAGAGGCTGGATGGCCATCTGTCAGGGGTGATTTGAATGCAATATTCCTGCTTCTTGGCAGAATGGGGTTGGACTGGATGGCCCAGGAGGTCTCTTCCAACTCTTTGATTCTATGATTCTATATACACATAGACGTACACATACCTTGCAAAGGCACCCCCTATAATTTGCAATGGGTGCACATTATAAATGCGAGCACATTAGCCTTTGCAATATGTGCCTGTTATAGTTTGCAAACATACATATCTATATACACATAGATGCACACATATCTTGCAAAGGCACCCCCTATAATTTGCAATGTGTTCACATTATAAATGTGCGCACATTAGCCTCTGCAATATAATGTACCTATTATAGTTTGCAAACATACATATAAAAATAGTGCTTGCCAAGGCAACTTGCAATGCACTAAGCTAGTGTGATTGACATCAGCTGCATGCTAGTTTTTTCCTTGTCAGCCAATCACACGGCAGAAATTCAAGGTGATACTTCTTGTAGTTTTGTGTGTGTGTAAAAACTTTTTAAATTCCCTAAAAAATCAGTAGATGACCCAAAACTTCTAAATTTGGCAGGCTACATGTTGCCTAGAAGTGTGCCAAGGTTCATCCTGATAGCCATAACAATGACGGAGAAAAGAGCCTCGAAATTTTCCACATAGCCACTAATGGAACAAATTACGAAGCTTCTAAGATTTGGATTACGAAATGAAATAGAACTACTCCAAATCTTTACAAAATGAAGAGGGGGCCAACAAAATCTCCTAAATGAATTACTAATTGGATTTCAGATGATTCGTACACCTCTATAGCGTGCATTTCCATTGCTCAGTGCTATAAGATCATGGGAGTTGTAGTTTGGTGAGGTGCCATTCCTCTTCGGCAGAGAAGGCTGAAGACCTTGTCTAACTACAAATCCTAGAATCCCATAGCATTGAGTCATGGCTGTTCAAGTAGGATATACACATACCTGGCACATGTTTCTCTGCAAATTTAATGTTGATGATGTAATTCCCGGGTTCCGTGGGGCAATAAGTAACTTTGCAAGTGCCGTCTTCCATGTCCTCGCAGTTGATGTCCACTTTGCTGGGGCCTTCGATTGAGAGACCCAGACCGCCGTAACCTAGGAGAGAAGCAAGCGGAAATAAAATATTTGGAAAATGTATGTATTGGAAACAATTCTGGGGGGAACTTTACCAAGTTGAGTATATATATATAGAGAGAGAGAGAGAGCCCTATTTTTCTATTAGACCTGACTGATGATGCAGGGAACGTCTCCACTGTCAAATTAATTCAGTTTGGCACCACCTGGACATGCCAAGAATCAGTGCTATGGAATCATGGGAGTTGTAGTTTCACAAGGGCTGTAGTCTTTCCTACAAAAGAGGGCTAGATCCCATGGCAGCTAAAGTGGCTTCAAACTGAATTTGTTGGAGTTCAGCCTGTGATGGTGTCTAATGATCAGAGAACTCTGGATGTTGGGAGTGACAATGAGGTTCAGGTGTCTAATGATGAGGTTGCTCTTGATGCAGAGAATGACAATGAGATTCCTGTTCCAAGTGACTTTTCAGGTGAGAATGTTCCTGAAGGGTTTGGGATGATGGCCTGTTCCCTGGGCCGGAATTGCTACCAGAGACTGCCCAAGGCTTTGAGCCCGAGAAAAGCTCAGCACCTGGGCCAACTGCAGAAATTAATGAGCCAGTAGAGAGGAGAAATGCTTTCAGTCAGCAGGGAAATACAAACCAGGCTCTCAGGCGCTCTGCTAGATTGCAGGAGAGACTGATAGCAGATTCAAGGCTGAGAAGAAATCCTTTCCTGGCCGCTTGGGATATAGAGTAGATTAGGGGATAAAAGTGCCAAGTACAGAATCTGTAGTCAGACGAAGCAATGTTTGAATTGATTCAAGACGTTGTCTCAGGTTCCTGGAAGCCTTGCCTTGGAAAGATTCTTGTGTCAAGTGCCTTGTTATTTCTACGTTGAAGTGCCTTGTTTGATTAATGCTCAAGTTTTGGGATTTTGCCGTGGAAGATCCAGTATTTGTTTTCGTGAACTCTGATAGACTATTTCCTGGACTTGTTGTTCCTATCTTCCTTTTCTCCCTAATTGGGTTTACCTATTTTTGTGGATTGCTTTTTACTGCTACTGCTTTTAATTATCTTCAATAAACTGCTTGCATTTTACTCAGCTGTGTGGTGTTTCAAGTCAGAGGGCTTCCTGGCCTGGAGTGCAACTGCATTATCCCTACAGTGTAAACAAAGCTTTTGCAGTTTAATAAACTTTTCCCATATTTTTATGATAGAGCCAATTAAGAAACGACATTTATAACCCAGAAACGAAAATCATGTTACATAGTGCTATCCCTGTTTTTTCTATTGACTCTTATCCTAGACGAGAGCGTTTGCGCTGCACCTGATGGGTGACACAGAGCACATCTCACCTGCGGTGCGAGTGTCGACGATAAACTCAGACACCTCGAAGGTGTGTCCTTCCACCAGGCCTTTGCCGGAGACCTTGACCTTGCTGGCGTCGCCAATCTCCGACTGGCCCACCATGATCTTGAAGGGGCTGTTGGTCACATGCTTGCCGCCCTTCTTCACGCTGACCACGTGCTCCCCGACTTCCTTGGGGGTGAAGGAGATCCCTTTGGGAAGGAAGAAGAAGAGAAGGTCAAGGCAAGAGGCTCAGGAGGACCAGGAGAGGTCTGAAACCCTAAATACAGCCAATCCCATTTTGGAAACAACCATATGTGTTTGTGTATGTCTGTGTGTGTATACCGCAAGTAAAAGCCAACCCGAACATAAGCCAAGGCATCTAATTTTACCATAAAAAATGGGAAAACATATTGACTTGAGTATAAGCCGAGGGTGGGAAATGCAGCCGCTACTGGTCAATTTCAGAATAAAAATAGATAGCAATAAAATTACATTAATTGGGGTTAAATGTCTTTGAATATTTACATAAAACTGTAATTTAAGACTGTCCCACTCTGATTGAACTCTTCTTCGTATCCTTCCAATAATAATAATGAGAATAAAATAATAAACATAATAAAAATAATATGAATAATAGAGTAAAATAATGGAAATGTAATAATAACAGAGTGAAATAATAAATGTAGGAATAATAAATGTAATAATAATAAATGTAATAATAATAAATAGAAGAAAATATTTACAGTTTATAATAAATAGAAGAATAAATAGAAGAAAATAACAAATGTAATAATAACAATGGCACAAAGAGTAAAATAATAAATGTAATAATAATAATAATAAATAGAAGAAAATAACAAATGTAATAGTAACAATGATACATAGTGCAAAATAATAAATGTAATAATAACAATAATAAATAGAGTAAAATAAATGTAATAATAATAATAAATAGAATAGAATAACAAATGTAATAACAACAATGATACATAGAGTAAAATAATAAAGGTAATAATAATAATAAATAGAATAAAATAGCAAATGTAATAATAACAATGATACATAGAGTAAAACAATAAATGTAATAATAATAAATAGAATAAAAATAATAAATGCAATAATAATAGAGTAAAATAATACATGTAATAATGACAATAATAAATAGAGTAAAATAATAAATGTAATAATAATAAATAGAATAAAATAGCAAATGTAATAACAATGACATATAGAGTAAAATAATAAATGTAATAATAATAATAAATAGAATAAAATAACAAATGTAATAACAATAATAAATAGAATAAAAATAATAAATGTAATAACAATAATGAATAGAGAAAAACAATAAATGTAATAATAATAATAATAGAGTAAAATAATAAATAATCTTGACTTGAGTATAAGGATGAAAAACTCGGCTTATACTCAGGTATATTCGATATATATATAGAGAGAGAGAGAGAGAGTAAAATAATAAATGTAATAATAACAATAATAAATAGAATAAAAATAATAAATGTAATAACAATAATGAATAGAGAAAAACAATAAATGTAATAATAATAATAATAATAATAATAAACTAATAAATAACCTTGACTTGAGTATAAGGATGAAAAACTCGGCTTATACTCAGGTATATTCGTATATATATATATATATATATATATATATATATATATATATATATATAATTACATTTATTACATTTATTATTTTACTCTATTATATATATATATATATATATATATATATATATATATATATATATATAAAATAATAAATGTAATAATAACAATAATAAATAAAGAAAAACAATGAATGTAATAATAATAATAATAATAACAGAGTAAAATAATAAATAATTTTGACTTGAGTATAAGGATGAAAAACCCGGCTTATACTCGAGTATATTCGGCATATATAGATAAATATATATATGCACACACACACACACACACACACACACACATATGCACATACATACAGGCAGTCCCCAAATTATGGACAAGAGAGGTTCTGTAGATTTGATCTTAAGTTGAATTTGTATATAAGTGTATGGCCTCTGCGGTCACTGCACAGAGCTGCCCATTCCTCCTTGTGGCAGCTTCCTGTGGCAGCAAAATGTCCAGGGATGTCCACTGTTCTCCTTCCAGTTGTGTTTGAAGGCCCCCAACTGCGCTTACCGATATGCCGGTTGGGCAGCCGCTTGAGCAAGCAGGGCTCTTCGTTGCCGGACGGCGCCCGGATGCTGGCCGTCAGCAGGCTAAGGTCGCTCTCGGTGATCTTCAGGGAGACGTCGGTGGAGGTGCCCACATTGAGCTGGGAGGTGCGCATGGAGTCATCGCCTGGAAGAAATGCAGAGAGATTTAAGGAAATCAGTGACCCAAGTGGAGGGGTACCACCGAAGTTGAGAGTTTTGAAAGGATGGAGGATAGGGTGGAAGGATTATAGGTCTCTGGAGGCAGGTAAAAGGCTGAAAAGCTCACCTGTAATCTTGGCGGTGAAGGGGCTACCGGGGATGTGCTTGTCGTCAAAGCGCACAATGATGTTGTAATCCCCAGGGGCGGTGGGCAGGTAGGAGACGGTGCAGGTGCCATCTTTGTTGTCCTTGCAGGTAATTTCAGCCTTGGATGGGCCTTCCACCGCCAAGGAGAGACCTCCTGGATAGAAAGAAGGAAAAGGTCACGAAACCTGGCCATTGGTCTTCCCTTTCTCCTGGTAAACCCGGTTGATCTCCAATTATTCTCACCTGAAAGTTACTAAACCAATGCCTGAATAATTTGCTACCTAAATGGGGTTTTAAGGACCTCTCCTTGCAAAGGTAGGAAGTTTTAGGCACTAGGGCCAAATTTGGCCTATCTAGTAGAGTTTATCTGGACCTCCCCAAGTGGACACACCTTCTCCCTCTGTTTGATGTTTTCCAGGATTTGCAATCCTTCCTAGAAAGGTTGAAATACTTTCCTTCACGGGCAGGTAAGAACTTCATCTAGTCTTATCCCTTTAGACCAGTGTTTCCCAACCTTCCTAACGTCTAAATGGGGTTTTCGGGATCTCTCCTAACAAACGTAGGAAGTCTTAGGCCCTAGGGCCAGATTTGGCCCATCCGATATCATTCATGTGGACCTCCCAAGATAGACACACCTTCTCCCCCTGTTTGATGTTTTCCAGGCTTTGAATTTCTTCCTAGAAGGTTGAAATACTTCCCTTCACCGGCAGGTAAGAACTTAATCTAGTCTTACACCTTTAGGCCAGTGTTTCCCAACCTTCCTAACATCCAAATGGGATTTTCAGGATCTCTCCTTCTAGTCTTATCGCTCTAGGCTTTCAGCTCCATCCACCTCTTGAATGTGGAAACTTTACCTGAAACTGTGGATGCATCTACACTGTTTTATGTTATTGACATTGTTATTATTTACAGTATTTTGTATTGTGCATTTATGGGTTTTACTCTATTTTTATATTCAAGTGCACTACCATATGCTTGTAAGCCATCCCAATTTCCTTTTGGGAGATGGTGGTAGGATACAAATAAAGTTGTTGTTGCTGATGTTGTTCATAGAATCCTAGAATCCTAGAGTTGGAAGAGACCTCCTGGGCCATCCAATCCAACCCCATTCTGCCAAGAAGCAGGAATATTGCATTCAAATCACCCCTGGCAGATGGCCATCCAGCCTCTGTTTCAAAGCCTCCAAAGAAGGAGCCTCCACCACACTCCGGGGCAGAGAGTTCCACTGCTGAACGGCTCTCACAGTCAGGAAGTTCTTCCTCATGTTCAGATGGAATCTCCTCTCTTGTAGTTTGAAGCCATTGTCCCATTGCATCCTAGTCTCCAGGGAAGCAGAAAACAAGCTTGCTCCCTCCTCCGTGTGGCTTCCTCTCACATGGCTATCGTGTCTCTTCTCAGCCTTCTCTTCTTCAGGCTAAACATGCCCAGCTCTTTAAGCCGCTCTTCATAGGGCTTGTTCTCCAGACCCTTATCATTTTAGTCGCCCTCCTCTGGACACATTCCAGCTTGTCAATATCTCTCCTGAATTGTGGTGCCCAGAATTGGACACAATATTCCACGTGTGGTCTAACCAAAGCAGAATAGAGGGGTAGCATGACTTCCCTGGACCTAGACACTAGGCTCCTCGTGATGCAGGCCAAAATCCCATTGGCTTTTTTTGCCGCCACATCACATTGTTGGCTCATGTTTAGCTTGATGTCCACGAGGACGCCAAGATCTTTGTTGTTGTTGCTGCTGTTGTTATTATAGTTTAAAGACACTTTATCTGCCATGATTCCATAATATAAAATCAAAGGAGTTGTAAAAACTGTGGCATAGACACAGAGTCCTGACCCTTGAGCTCTCTAACTGGAGGTCAGCTGTGGCCAGCAGTGCTGTGGAATTTGAAAAGGCATGAATGGAGGGCAAAAGGGAGAAACGTACCAAGAGGAAGGCGCCTCAAGCCAACCCTGACTGGTATAGCCTTTCACCTGGAAACCGAAGTCCTCGCTGCGGAAAAACATGCGGATCAAGAATAGGGCTTGATCCGCATGTAGGTGTAGGTGTCAGCCACCTACAGACACGACACTTGGAGGACCATCATCCTCAGGCTACAAGGGATTGCCTACATAAATAAAGTTTTACAGCCTTCTCTGTAAGGCTGGTGCCTCTCCAAACTACAGTTCCTATGACTCTATAACATTAAGCCATAGCGTTCCAAGTGTGGTCAAGCTGCATTCATGCTCCAGTACGGGTGAACCCCAAGGAGAGAATCAGAGACCGAAAAGCAAAGAAATGTCTCAACCAGTGCTTTCCTTTCACATTACAATAAGCAATCACAATCACCAAGCATAGCTCCTCCAACCCCTCTGTGCCCACCTTCTCCGGCATCTTTGGTGACAATGGTGAATGTGGCGGGCTTGTTGACCATGCCATGGCTCAGCCCCGGCCCGTAAGCACTCACGTGGCGGGCGTTGATGGCATCCACATAGAACTGGAGAGGGCTCCCTGGAAGGAGAAAGGAAAGAGTTCATTAAAGGCGCATGAGAACCCAATCCTGGGCAACTGGCTGCTTTCCTTTGGGTTTTCATGTGTTTTTGTAAGGTTTAATATGTCATATGTTCTGCAGTTGGTGATGGAATAATCTATATAAATAAACATGTCATGTTCGTTTGTGGGATTAACAGAACTCAAAAACCACTGGATGAATTGACACCAAATGTGGACAGAAGACACCTAACAACCCAATGTATGTCCTTCACTCAACAAAATTGATTTTGTCATTTGGGAGATGTGGTTGCTGGGATTTATAGTTCACTTAAAATCAAAGAGCTTTCTGAACCCCACCAACGATGGAATTGAACCAAACTTGGCACACAGTTCTCCCATGACCAACAGAAAATACTGGGAGGGTTTGGTGGGGAGTGTCCTTTGGTTTGGAGTTGTAGTTCACCTACATCCAGAGATCACTGTGGACTCAAACAATGATGGATCTGGACCAAACTCTACATGAATACTCAATATGCCCAAATCTGAACACTGGTGGAGTTTGGGGAAAATAGAATCTTGACATTTGGGAGTTGTAGTTATAGGGATCTGTAGTTCACCTACAATCACAGAGCATTCTGAACCCCACCAATGATGGAATTGGGCTAAACCTCCCACACAGAACTCCCATGACCACCAGAGTGGGCCACAGCAATGCGTGGCAGGGGACGGCTAGTAATAATAATAATGAACTTTATTTATACCCCGCCACCATCTCCCCAATGGGGACTCGGAGCGGCTTACATGAGGCCAAGCCCAAACAACAATTTGGGTTAATGTAAGTATTCGTTCTAAAGATTTAGTAATCTGTAAGTTAGAGTCCATGGAAGACAATTATGCTGGGGAAAGTGGAAGGCAAAAGGAAGAGGGGCCGACCAAGGGCAAGATGGATGGATGGCATCCTTGAAGTGACTGGACTGACCTTGAGGGAGCTGGGGGTGGTAACGGCCGACAGGGAGCTCTGGCGTGGGCTGGTCCATGAGGTCACGAAGAGTCGGAGACGACTGAACGAATGAACAACAACAGAGTCCATGGGTGAAAGCAATTAAGGGTGGAAGTATACACGGGATAGGTTGCAGCTGGGTGTTACTGGATTTAAGGAGCTAACCTTAGGACTGATCTTTAGGAGAAAAGTATTGTCATGTTTTGGTGGTGGATGCTGCTGGTTTTCCCCCCAGGTCTGTTGGATTTTCGGTATCCTGGTCTCCTGTAATTTTGGAACCTTGGACTTTTGGACTGGCTTTTGACTATGGTATAGACTCTTGATCCCAGTGGTCAAATGCCGAGAGTTTATTGAACTCTCGGCATTTGACCACTGGACTGGACCCTCTAACTATGGTGTAGTTTTTGCTATCAGTTTTTGTTTATTCTGTGGCTGAGTGCTATCTTTATGTTTTATATTTTGATCTATTTAAACAGCCAGCAAGTAAGTGCTGTTTCAATTAAACTGTTTGATAAAACTGGGCGTTTGGTTCATCTCTACCTAAATAAGGCAGAGCCCTGGCAACGTGACATAATCTCTCCTGGTGTTTACATGATGTAAGATGGAATACAAGGGGATGTAACAACAATATCCAACGGTTATAACGTGCCATACACCTTGAAATAGTTGAATACTGATCTCAGTCCCAAACAATCAAATCAACTTTACCCTTGAAAATACTAAAGCCGCAAAACATAATTTAAGGACCAAATTATCAAATTCAAACAGGCTGAGATAAAGATAACAATCAGCACTTAAATTTCAGGCTAGGGCTGCAACTACACTGCAGGATCAATGCAGCTTCACACCATTCAGACTGCCATGGCTCAATGCGGTAGACTCCTGGGAGCTATAGTTTTACAAGGTCTTGAGCCTTCTCTGCCCAAGAGAGCTGGCGCCTCAGCAAACTACAGCTCCCAGGGTTCCATAGCATTGAGCCAAGGCAATTAAACTGCATAATTGATGTAGATGTATCCTAAAACCCAGAGCAGATCCACTCGCAACAAGATTAACGGATTGTTGTAGGTTTTTTTCAGGCTATATGGCCATGTTCTAGAGGCATTCTCTCCTGACGTTTTGCCTGCATCTATGGCAAACATCCCCAGAGGTAGTGTCCCTTTGTCCCACCCTGGTCATTCCACAGATATATAAACCCTTTTTCCTAGTTCCAACAGACCTCACTACCTCTGAGGATGCTTGCCATAGATGCAGGCGAAACGTCAGGAGAAAATGCCTCTAGAACATGGCCATATAGCCCGAATAAACCTACAACAGCCCAGCCCAGTTTTAACTTGCCTCCGAAACATCAAGAGGGAGGGTGCGGATCTGATCTCCTTAGGCAGGGTGTTCCAAAGCCGAGGGGCCACCACTGAGAAGGCCCTGTCTCTTGTCCCCCCAAACATACTTGTCTCGAAGGCGGGACCAAGAGCAGGGCCTCCCCAGACGATCTTAGGGTCCTTGATGGTTTGTAAGGGGAGATACGTTCAGACAGGTAAGTTGGGCCAGAACCGTTTAGGGCTTTATAGCTCTGTCCACCTGGACTTCATTTCCATCCTCTGAGCTCAGTTCTGTTCCTGTCCTTGCTTCCCTAGTGAACTACCTTTCTAGAATGTGGCCTTCAGACAGAGACCGCTCATTTTCAGGGCTTAAATTCTCTTGCTGAGTCTCCTGCTGACTTGCAGACCCAGAATCCCCAGTGTCATCAGGCTAACAAGCCCAGAATCCCCAGAGAGATCAGGTGCAGGCACAATCAAAGGCTAGAATACAATAATAAGTCATTGACAAAGTCCTTGCACCACCATCACCTTCTGTCCCTCACCTGGAATGTGGTTCCCATCGTATTTGATGTCCATCTCATGTAGCCCCTTCTCCACGGGCGCATACTTGACCGTCACGGTGCCGTCCTTATTGTCGGTGATATGAGGCCGGGCCGTCTTCCCTGAAGGCATCCTCACCTCGCCTTGAAGAAGACAAACCCAGAATGGTCAAACCAGGTAGGGAAAGATGTGGCCTTCACACCAAAGGATGGGTACTTACATCGCAATGGGGGACCATTTCCCAACAAGGGGTTGTTGTCCCACATGTAAAGTTGGCCCAAGGTAAACCACAACATGAACATGAGCCAAGAGTGTCATGCAGCAGCTAAAAAAGCCAATGCAATCCTAGGCAAATAATACTGAGGGATGCCACAGTTCCGCCCTATTCTGTTTTGGTCTGACTTCATCTATCTATATAAATAAAAATGTCATGTTAATTTGTGGGATTAACTGAACTAAAAAACCACTGGACGAATTGACACCAAATTTGGACACAAGACACCTAACAACCCAATGTATGTCCTTCACTCAAAAAAATTGATTTTGTCATTTGGGAGTTGTAGTTGCTGGGATTTATAGTTCACTTACAATCAAAGAGCATTCTGAACCCCACCAACGATGGCATTGAACCAAACTTGGCACACAGTTCTCCCATGACCAACAGAAAATACTGGAAGGGTTTGGTGGGCAGTGTCCTTTGGTTTTGGAGTTGTAGTTCACCTACATCCAGAGAGCACTGTGGACTCAAACAATGATGGATCTGGACCAAACTTGGCACAGATACTCAATATGCCCGAATGTGAACACTGGTGGCGTTTGGGGAAAATAGAATCTTGATATTTGGAAGTTGTAGTTGCTGGGATTTGTAGTTCACCTACAATCACAGAGCATTCTGAACTCCACCAACAATAGAATTCGGCCAAACCTCCCACACAGAACCCCCATGATCACCAGAGTGGGCCACAACAACGCATGGCAGGGGACGGCTAATTTGGAATAATCCTGGACACCACACTTCAGGAAGGAGATGGACAAACCCAAAACCATAAAATGAAAGAGTAAAATGTTGAAATTGACTTCCCACCTCCAAACTTAAAGACATATATACAATGAAAATATGACTGCCATCTCACTATCCTCTTAGCTTAAACTTTTACTTAACCTTCTAAGCATGTTGTTTACATTGGGTTGTTGTAGGTTTTTCGGGCTATATGGCCATGTTCTAGAAGCATTCTCTCCTGACGTTTCGCTTGCATCTATGGTAGGCATCCTCAGAGGTTGTGAGGCATCTACCAACCTCACAATCTCTCAGGATGCCTGCCATAGATTCAGGTGAAATGCCAGGAGAGAATGCTTCTAGAACATGGTCATATAGCCTGAAAAAACCTACAACAACCCAGTGATTCTGCCCATGAAAGCCTTCGACAATACATGTTGACATTTCTTATTTCTTCTTTATACTTGATACTCATTATTTCTATTCTTTTCAAAAAGTTCCCAGTTGACATTCCCTTGTCCATTTCTCCCCTTTTTGCAAATATTTTGAAGTATTCTTTCCATCACAGCATAATACTTTCCCACTGGCCATTTAGGGATCTATGGAGGCATTTATCTGGGATTTGTGGAGGTATTTATCTGTGATCGATCTGATCGATGGAGCCAGTGATCTATGTAATCTTTGGAAGCATTTACCTCTGATCTATGGAGTCAGTGATCTATGTGATCAATAAGGCATCTACCTGTGATCTATGGAGGTGTTTGTGATCTGTGGAGGCACTTGCCGGAGCTCAATATGATCATATTTGCCTGTGATCTATGTGATCTATGGAGGCATTTGGCTGTGATTGATGTGATCTATGGAGGCATCTACCTGCGATCTATGGAGGCATTTACCTGCGATCTATGGAGGTATTTATCTGTGAACTGTGGAGGCACTTACCTGTGCTCAATATGATCATATTTACCTGTGATCTATGCATGCATTTATCTTTGACCTACGGAGGCATTTGTCTGTGATCAATGCGATCTATGGAGATAGTGATCTATGTGATGAATAAGGCATTTACCTGTGATCTATGTGATCTATGGAGGCATTTACCTGTGATCTTTATCTGTGATCTGTGGAGGCACTTGCCTGTGCTCAATATGATCATATTTACCTGTGATGTATGTGATCTATAGATGCATTTATCTGTGAACTATGGAGGCATTTGTCTGTGATCAATGTGATCTATGGAGGCATCTACCTGTGATCGGAGGAGGCATCTACCTGTGATCGGAGGAGGCATCTACCTGTGATCTATGGAGGCATTTACCTATGATCTATGGAGGCATCTACCTGTGATCTATGGAGGCATTTACCTGTGATCTGAGGAGGCATCTACCTGTGATCTATGGAGGCATCTACCTGTGATCTGAGGAGGCATCTACCTGTGATCTATGGAGGCATCTACCTGTGATCTGAGGAGGCATCTACCTGTGATCTATGGAGGCATTTACCTGTGATCTCCCCCTTTTGCACGGCGAAGGGGATGACAAGGTTGAAGGGGCGCAGCATGGAGTCCACGTTCTCTGGAGGGGCGACGGGCTCATCTGTGGCCTGGCAGGGAGAGGAAGGAGGGATGGGATCGGAGGGCGAAAGAAGGGAAGAGAAGAGAAAGAAAGCACTAAGTACAGACAAGAGAAAAGGAAGAGAGCATGGAGGCGCAAGGCGAGTGAAAAGGAAGGAAGGGTCTGCTCCAAAGAGTCCCGTGAGGCCATGCAGGCGGAGAAAGACAAGGCTGCAAGAGAAGAGAAGAGCAAAAAGAGAAGAACCTCCCAAGGAAGTGGGCAGAATGCAGCCATGGGGTTGGGGACATATGGGAACCCAGCATGGCAAATACAACACATCTACACTGTAGAATTAATGCAGTTTGACCCCCTATAACTGCCATGGCTCAATGCAACAGAATCCTGGGAGTTGTGGTTTTGTTATGAGCAGGAGGTCAGCCTGGATGGCCTTATGGAGCCCTCTCTGACTCTCTGGGTGCATCTACACTGTGGAATGGATGCAGTTTAGCACCTCTTTGTCTGACCTGGCCAACTGTTGTGGAATCGTGGGAGTCTGGTGTAGTTTCACAACAATATTTGGCCTTTTCTGCCAAAGAGTGCTGATACCTTACCAAAGACAACCAAGAGACCACAGCATTGAGCCATGGCAATTCAAGGGATGTCAGAAAACCATTAATTCCACAGTATTGATGCACTTTTGAGGTTTCTGAACAAGGTGGACGGCTATCTTTCAGGTGTCAAAAGTGCTGTGACACTGCATTAATTCTGCAAGGTAGATGCACCTTAAGCTCCCCTGATGGAGACGTGAGAAATCGGAGCAGGTGCACAAAGATGCCCAAAGGATGCCCACCTTCACACAGAACCATTTTGAGTGTACCAAAAGAGGCCATAGGGATAAGGAACTTGGAACAAGAGACAAGGGGTCCCTAAAGTCAATGCCTAGAGAACCCCTGAGATCTTAGCCCCCCATCTTGAGGGACTTGGGCAGAGTTGGAGAGACTGTGGAAGAGAAAGAGGCAGTGAGAGCAGGTGGAAACTTATAGGTGAGAATGGCTCCTGGTACCCAGTGTGAGGGGTATCCGCCCGCATGATGCGCTGGGAAGGGCTGCTGGAGCGGCATGGACTCACAGGGCTCCTCGACGTGGGGCATGGGGTCACAGGCCTGGCAGGAAGCAAGGAAAAGGTCAGTGTGGGAACCCCAGACCCTGCTATGGCAGATCTTGGTGGATTTATGGAAACTTCTTGTATGGAAGACCACCAGGAAGGTCCTTCTTGTATGGAAGACCACCAGGGAGGTTCTTATTGTATGGAAAACCTCCAGGAAAGCTCTTCTTGAATGGAAGACTACCAGACAACCTCTTTCTTATATGGAAGACAAACAGAATGGTCCTTCTTGTATGGAAGACCACCAAGCAGGTCCTTCTTCTATGGAAGACCGCCAAGAAGGTTCTTCTTGTATAGAAGACCACCGGAAAGGTCTTTCTTCTATGGAAGAGAACCAGGAAGGTCCTTCTTGTATGGAAGACCACCAAGAAGGTCCTTCTTCTATGGAAGACCGCCAAGAAGGTTCTTCTTGTATAGAAGACCACTGGAAAGGTCTTTCTTCTATGGAAGAGAACCAGGAGGGTCCTTCTTGTATGGAAGACCACCAAGAAGGTTCTTCTTGTATAGAAGACCACTGGAAAGGTCTTTATTTATTTATTTATTTATTTGATGCATTTATTAACCGCCATTCTCAGCCCCTCAGGGCGACTCATGGCGGTGTACAGTATAAAAAGCAAGTTACAAAAAGACATTATCAAACAAGTTATTAACAATACAACAATACAACAATCCTAAAATTACACTAACTGATCCGCTTCGTCTCATAGTAGAATCGTCACCAATCTCATATTCCTTGTTCCATTCCAGTCGTCTAAACCACTTTAATATAGCACTTAACAATCCTAAAATTACACTAACTGATCCGCTTCGTCTCATAGTAGAATCGTCACCAATCTCATATTCCTTGTTCCATTCCAGTCGTCTAAACCACTTTAATATAGCACTTAATTAAATGCCCTCTCGAACAGCCATATTTTAAGGCTTTTTCGGAAGGACATAAGGGAGGGCGCCTGCCTGATGTCCGCAGGGAGAGTGTTCCACAGCCGGGGGGCCACCACTGAAAAGGCCCTCTCTCTCGTCCCCGCCAGGCGTGCCTGTGAGGCAGGCGGGATCGAGAGAAGGGCCTCCCCAGACGATCTCAAGGTCCTCGTGGGCTCATAGGCCAAGATGCGGTCTGAAAGGTATTTTGGGCCAGAGCCGTTTAGGGCTTTGTAGGCCAAAACCAGCACCTTAAATTGGGCCCGGTAGCAAATCGGCAGCCAGTTGGCAGCCAGTGGGGCTAACGCAACAGAGGAGTAGTATGCTCCCTGTACCCCACTCCCATTAGTAGTCTGGGTGCTGTTCATTGGACTAGTTGTAGCTTCCAGGCAGTCTTCAGAGGCAACCCCACGTAGAGAGCGTTGCAGTAGTCTATACGGGATGTAACCAGAGCATGTACCACCGTGGCCAAGTCAGACTTCCCAAGATACGGGCGCAGCTGGCGCACGAGCCTAAGCTGTGCAAATGCTCCCCTGGTCACCGCTGAAACCTGGGGCTCCAGGCTCAGCGATGAGTCCAGGGTCACACCCAAGCTGCGAACCTGCGCCTTCAAGGGGAGTGCGACCCCGTCCAGCACAGGCTGTAACCCTATACCCTGTTCGGCCTTGCGACTGACCAGGAGTACCTCTGTCTTGTCTGGATTTAGTTTCAGTTTGTTCGCCCTCATCCAGACCGTTACAGCGGCCAGGCACCGGTTCAGGACCTCGACAGCCTCCTTAGTAGCAGGTGGAAAGGAGTGACAGAGTTGGACATCATCTGCGTACAGATGACACCGCACCCCGAAACTCCGGATGATCTCACCCAGCGGCTTCATGTAGATGTTAAACAGCATGGGGGACAGTATGGAGCCCTGAGGAACCCCACAGGTCAAAGGTTGTGGTGTAGAACAGGAGTCCCCCAACAACACCTTCTGGGTGCGGCCCTCCAGGAATGAGTGGAGCCACTGCAAAGCAGTGCCCCCAAGGCCCATTTCCGCAAGGCGCCCCAGAAGGATACTGTGGTCGACAGTATCGAAGTCCGCTGAGAGGTCCAGGAGCACCAACAGGGACACACTCCCCCTGTCTAGCTCCCGGCGCAGATCATCCACTAAGGCGACCAAGACCGTCTCGGTACCATGTCCCGGCCTGAAACCAGACTGTGCCGGATCCAGAATATCCGTGTCTCTCAAGAATACCTGGAGTTGTGAGGCCACCACGCTTTCCATGACTTTGCCCAAAAAGGGGAGATTGGAAACAGGCCGAAAGTTGTCAAATTTAGTGGGGTCCAATGATGGTTTCTTCAACAGCGGTTTTATAATAGCTTGTTTTAAGCTCGCTGGAATCTTGCCTTCCCGGAGGGAGGCATTAACCACCACCGTTACCCACTCAGCCAGTCCCCCTCTGGCCTCCTTCAGAAGCCAGGATGGGCAGGGGTCTAGGATGGACGTGGTGGGCCTCATTCCTCCAAGTATCTTGTCCACATCCTCGGGTTTCACAAACTGAAAGGAATCCATCAAAATAGGACAAGCAGGTGCTCGAGTCACATCCACAGAGACTGCATTTAACGTGGCGTCCAGCCCAGAGCGGATCAAAGCGACTTTGTCTGCAAAGAACCGAGCAAATGCTTCGCAGCGCGTGCCGAATTGTCAGGGCTCCCGCCTGAAGTGGCGGGAGTTAAAAGACCTCTGACAATCCGAAACAACTCCGCCGGACGGTTCTTTGCAGACGCAATAGTGGCCGCAAAGAAAGTTTTCTTTGCGGCTTTTATTGCCGCGGCATATGCCCTTAAAAAGGACACAAACCGTGCTCGATTTGACTCGCTTGGGTCCGAACGCCACACGCTCTCTAGTTCCCTCTTCCTTCGCTTCATCACTGCCAGCTCCTCAGTAAACCAAGGAGCTGGTTTAGCTCGGCTACTTGAGAGGGGACGTTCCGGAGCGATCACGTCAATTGCCCTGGCCATCTCCCCATTCCAGAGAGCGACCAAGGCCTCGACATGGTCACCTACCGAGGTGGCGGGAAAATCCCCAAGAGCCGTCAGGAATCCATTCGGATCCATCAGCCTCCTGGGGCGGACCATCTTAATGGGTCCTCCACCTTTGCAGAGGTTAGGGGGCGCAGTGAGCCTAAATCTGATCAGGAAGTGGTCGGTCCATGGCAACGGAGAGATGGACAACTCCTCCACACCGCCACCCTGTTCCCATCCCTGGCAGAAAACCAAGTCCAATGTGTGTCCAGCGCAGTGAGTGGGGCCAGATATTTGTTGGGACAGCCCCATGGTTGCCATGGCAGACATGAAGTCCTGAGCCGCACCTGTGAGGGTCACCTCGGCATGGATGTTGAAGTCTCCCAGCACAAGAAGCCGTTGAGACTCCAACACCAGGCTCGAGACTACCCCCGCTAGCTCAGGTAGGGAGACTGTAGTGCAGCGAGGTGGACGGTACACTAACAGAATCCCTATTCTGTCCCGGTCACCCACCCTCAGGTGGACGCATTTCAAAATTTGTGGTCTGCGGGATGGGGCACCTGGTCAGATGGATGGAATCCCTATAGACCACTGCAACCCCGCCTCCCCGCCTCCGGATCTCGGTTGGTGCTGCACGGAGAAGCCTGGAGGACAAAGCTGGGTTAGATTTACTCCTCCAGCTTCATCCAGCCAGGTCTCCGTGATGCACGCCAGATCTGCCCGCTCATCCAGGATTAAATCCTGGATAAAGGTCGTTTTTCCGTTGACAGATCTGGCGTTCAGTAGCACCACCTTCAATCCGGAGGGCCCGCCAACCTGGTTACACCAATTTACCCTAGGAGACCGATTTGGGATTGTTAATGTAGATAAGCGGTCCGAATTAAGCCGAATTTGAGGTCTCCTTTTTCCGCATCTCCTCCTTCCCACCACGACCTCTATGGGGGCCCCTCGGCTAGTGGAACACCTCCCCTCCTCCATGCCGCAGTCCATGCCCAAGGTCTTAATCTCTGTTTCACTATTTATTTTAGTTGTTAGCGTTCTTTCTTGCCCATTACCTTGATTTTCTTTATCCTCCCTCCCCTCTTCATTATTTTTCATGGGCTCTAGCCCACTTCCTCCCCCGCCCCTTCCACTGGTCAATAAAATCAGGGACAATATACATAGGAGAGAGGGGGACCACATGAATGAAACAATACACTTCATCCGATAGGTAGTGAAACAAGGACGCACACGTTTTTGCTGCCGAAATAAGATGATACCTAAAGTGCTAAAGACTTAAAGTGCAACAATGGTAGCTTCAGGCTACGAGCCACTAGGCTATTCATAAGGTGCAAAATCTTAAAGTGCGAACCACCCAAGACTGGCTCTCAAGACTATTAAAGTGCGGCAGGAGGGAACGGACAAGGGCGGGTGCAAAACAAGTAGCAGCAAAGGCAGGCGCCTTGGGTGCTATATTACGCTCTTGTTTTTTTTGCCAAATTTGGTCCAGTGAATGAAAATACATCCCAGATATTTACATTATGCTTCATAACAGTAGCAAAATTACAGTTGTGAAGTTGTCATGAAAATAATTTGCTGGTTGGGGGTCACCACAACATGAGGAACTGTGTTAAGGGGTCAAGGCATTAGGAAGGTTAAGAACCACTGCTCTAGGTTGCCTTCTATACAGGAAGGACCTTCTTGGTGGCCTTCCATATAAGACATTGGTTTTGCTACTGTTATGAAACATAATGTAAATATCTTTCTTCTATGGAAGAGAACCAGGAAGGTCCTTCTTGTATGGAAGACCGCCAAGAAGATTCTTCTTGTATAGAAGACCACCGGAAAGGTCTTTCTTCTATGGAAGAGAACCAGGAAGGTCCTTCTTGTATGGAAGACCACCAGGAAGGTCTTTCTTTTGTGGAAAAACACCAGAAAGGCTCTTCTTGTATGGAAGACCACGAAGAAGGTCCTTCTTGTATGGAAGACCACCAGGAAGGTCCTTCTTCTAGAGAAAACCACCAAGAATTTCTGTCTTATATGGAAGGCCACCAAGAAGGTCCTTCCTGTATAGAAGGCAACCTAGAGCAGTGGTTCTTAACCTTCCTAATGCCTTGACCCCTTAACACAGTTCCTCATGTTGTGGTGACCCCCAACCAGCAAATTATTTTCATGACAACTTCACAACTGTAATTTTGCTACTGTTRTGAAACATAATGTAAATATCTGATATGCAGGATGTATTTTCATTCACTGGACCAAATTTGGCACAAATACCCAATACACCCAAATTTGAACACTGGTTGGGGTGGGGGATTGATTTTGTCATTTGGGAGTTGTAGTTGCTGGGATTTATAGTTCACCTACAATCAAAGAGCATTCTGAACTCCACCAATGATGGAATTGAACCAAACTTGGCACACAGATCTCCCATGACCAACAGAAAATACTGGAAGGGTTTGGTGGATTGACCTTGAGTTTTGGAGTTGTAGTTCACCTACATCCCGAGAGCACTGTGGACTCAAATAATGATGGATCTGGACCAAATTTGGCATGACAATCAATATGCCCAAATGTGAACTCTGCTGGAGTTTGGAGAAAATAGACCTTGACATTGGGAGTTGTAGTTACTGGGATTTATAGTTCACCTACAATCAAAGAGCATTCTGAACCCCACCAAGGATAGAATTGGGCCAAACTTCCCACACAGAACCCCCATGACTAACAGAAAATACTGTGTCTTTGGCGACCCCTCTGATACCCACTCGCGACCCCTCCAGGGGTCCCGACCCCCAGGTTGAGAAACGCTGATCTAAGCCATTAGTCTTGCCACCTGGTTCCCTTTGGGTGCCTCTTCCAACTCTATAATTCTATCCTTCTTCTAAGAAGCCTAGCCAGCCATTCTGTAATCCCATAACTCACCACGACATGGAAGGGGCTGTTGGGGATCTGTTCACCCCCGAAGCGGATGGTGATGACGTATTTGCCAGGCTCCGGAGCAGTGTAGTAGATGTCGAAGGTGCCGTCGTGGTTCTCCACCACGTCGACGTCCAGCTCGGCCCCGTCTGGCGTGGAGACCTTGCAGGTCACTTTCCCCTTCCCGGCCGCCTTGGCGTCCACTGTGATGACCGTCTCCTCTCCAATCTGGATGGTGGGTCCCAAGCAAGTGCCTGGAGGAGAAAAGGAGAGGGTCAGTGGTCAGTTAAACGAGGGAATTGCATCCAAAGCAAGCTGGTTTGATCATGGTCACAGAATGAGAATTTGCAAATGGCGATAGAAGATGGTTTGCTGTTAGTTTTTCGGGCTGTCTGGCCATGTTCTAGCAGCATTCTCTCCTGGCATTTCGCCTGCATCTGTGGCATCTTCAGAGGTTTTGTTGTCAGTGAAGCAAGTGGAGTGTGGAATAATTTACGACGCCATAAAAATCTCCAGTAAGCATGCAACGAATGAGGAAGTACTTCATCAGTGTCACAAATGGACGGAGAAGCGACAGCTCCCCTGGTGGCCAGAATACCCTCGTGAAAAAGCTGGAATGTTAAATAGCCTCTGTGTGTCTGTCTGTCTATGTTGCGTGTCTATGGCATTGAATGTTTGCCATGTCTATGTACATTGTAATCTGCCCTGAGTCTCCTGCGGGGTGAGAAGGGCGGACTATAAATACTGTAAATAAATAATGTCCAGGGTGGGAGAAAAAAAACCCTTTGTCTCTTTAAAACAAGTGTAAATGTTGCAATTGGCAAGTTGGAATAGCATTGAGTAGCCATGAAGCTGCAAAGTCAATCATTGAGGGTATTTGCATAGAGGTCACCTGGCTGTTATTGCCTGGAGGCATCCTTTGTTTGAGAAGTGTTCACTGGTATCATGTCAGACTACACAAAGAAGCCACTGAAATCCGCAAGAAGTACGTGAACAATTTCAACAGAAAGGAGAAAACCATGAAATAATAATAATAATAATAACAACAACAACAACAACAACAACAACTTTATTTATATTCTACTCTATCTCCCCAAAGGGACTCAGGGCGGATTCCAAACATAAAAGGTAAACATTCAATGCCCGAATACAACAATACAACCATACTAACAAAATGTATACAACCCAACATATTAATACGAATTATAACTTAACAAACTAAAATAAAATTAAAAAGCACAGCCTGTTATAACAGACATAAGGCAAAACACAATGAACAAAACCTGGCCACCAGTATTAAAACAAAAACACCAGAATCAAGACAGTAAATAAGGAATTCCACTCAGAAACAGAACCCCAGACAACTAACACACAAGTGCCAGTTAACACCTTCCAAACAGAGGATGCCTCCAAGCAACAGAGGCCAGGCCACCTCTTGCAGATACCCTCGCTGATGGAGTATCTGAATCCTTGCTTTTCCCACCCGAAGATTTCCACACATATATGTATTTATTGATGGTATTAAAATATCTATGCCCGTCCTAGATTAAAGATATATCATTCAAAGAAGTTACTTACCCAACCCATGGCCTCCGATGGACACTGTAAGACAGGAAGGAAGGAAAACACCCATCAGAAAGTGCAGTTGATTGACAAATTGTACCTTTACCGCAATAGTTTAATTATATTTTTAAACTTTTTTTTTTTGCATATTGGGCCCCAGGTTAGAAAAAACAAACAAACCAGGGAATAAGCTACCATTATAGCAACTAGTTAACGTTGAACATCCCTTATTCGAAATGCTCAGAAGAAATATAATGCGCAGATTTGATAAATGGGGATTTGATATTTGGTTTGAATGGAATTACAGTATATATTCGAGTATAAGCCTAGATTTTCAGCCCCTTTTTTAGGCTGAAAAAGCTTTCCTCGGCTTATACTCAAGTCAAAGTTTTCTCTATTTCATTTTTATTACATTTATCATTTTTCTGTATTTATTATTATTACGTTTATGTTATTTTACACTATTCTTTTATTTCATTTATTATTTTACTCTATTATTTGTTTGTTTGTTTCTTTGTTTGTTTACTATATTTGTATACCGTCTTTTTCAGCCCATGGGTTGAAAAATAACAACTTTATTATTGTTGTTATTATTACATGTATTATTTTACTCTATTATTATTACATTTATTATTTTACTCTGCTTATTATTAGTAGTAGTGACTTGGCCACGGTAGTCCACGCTCTGGTTACATCCCGTTTAGACTACTGCAACGCTCTCTACGTGGGGTTGCCTTTGAAGACAGCTCGGAAGCTCCAACTAGTCCAACGCTCGGCAGCCATGATTTTAACGGGAGCGGAGCGCAGGGAGCATACAACCCCCCTGTTGCGCCAACTCCACTGGCTACCGATCTGCTACCGGGCTGAATTCAAAGTGCTGGCGTTGGCCTTTAAAGCCCTAAACGGTTCCGGCCCAAGCTACCTTTCCGACCGCATCTCAGCCTATGAACCCAACAGGACTTTGAGATCTTCCGGGGAGGCCCTGCTCTCGATCCCTCCGGCTTCTCAAGCACGGTTGGCGGGGATGAGAGATAGGGCCTTCTCGGTGGTGGCTCCTCGGCTGTGGAACGCCCTTCCTACGGACATTAGACTAGCACCATCTCTAATGGTATTCCGCAAAAAGGTGAAGACCTGGATGTTTGTGCAGGCGTTTGAGTAATTTAGTGCAATCTGGTAATGGAACATAGGAATGGAACAATGGACGACGAACCTGGACTACGCTTGGATGATGAGAAGATTGGGTACGGTTGTTTTTTGTAATAATTGTGCATTGTAACTGCTTATTGGTAATTTATGGATAATGTGTTAAGTCAATTGTTATATGTTGTATGGAACCACTGCTGTTTCTACTGTTTTTACTGTTTGTGAACCGCCGTGAGTCGCCTTCGGGCTTGAGATACAGCGGTATATAAGCAAAGTAAATAAATAAATAAATAAATAATATAATATAATATAATATACAATAATATTCATGGCCAGAATCACTGGGTTGTTGTATGTTTTTTCGGGCTATATGGCCATGGTCTAGAGGCATTCTCTCCTGACGTTTCGCCTGCATCTATGGCAAGCATCCTCAGAGGTAGTGAGGGTCTGTTAGAACAAGGAAAAAGTGGGTTTATATATCTGTGGAATGACCAGGGTGGGACAAATGTTCTTGTATCTTTTGAAGCATATTGCTTGTGTTGTAGGTTTTTTCATGCTATATGGCCATGGTCTAGAGGCATTCTCTCCTGACGTTTCGCCTGCATCTATGGCAATCATCCTCAGAGGTAGTGAGGTCTGTTGGAAATAGGAGAAGTCCGCCATAGCAGAGCAATTTCAACAGAAAGGAGGAAACCATGAAAATGAACAAAATCTGGCTACCAGTATTAAAAAACTCTAAAATTAGAAAGCACCACAACAGAGAGGAAACAAACAAGGGCATTCTAATCACCTCTCAACAAAAGATTGCTCCAGGCACTGCCAGGCAATCAAATGCTAATCAAGGTGGTCAGTTGAAACATTCACACCTAGCTCCAGCAGACAAGAGTCCTTTGTCCCACCCTGTTCATTCCACAGATATATAAACCCTTTTTCCTAGTTCCAACAGACCTCACTACCTCTGAGGATGCTTGCCATAGATGCAGGCGAAACGTCAGGAGAGAATGCCTCTAGACTGAGATGGTAAAGTGTGATAAGAACTGTGACAATGATAAGAGAAATGTTTACATCTGGAGGTTTGGAAAGAGAGGCTGGATGGCCATCTGTCAGGAGGGCTTGAATTGTGTCTTCCCAGCCTATGATTCCATGATTCTATGACCC